GGTGAGTTGCAGTACTGAGAAGTTCTCCAATCTTCGTAGATACTGATAAGTGACAAACTTTGTCTTAACTACTAATTCTCCTTAGCGTCGAATTCATAGCTCTACGCTGCTTTCGATTAAGTAGCTGAGAAACGAGAGCAAGTTTTTGGCAGCGTGCAGCATGGGCAACACGTTGTTCTTGTGTAATCATACCACAACGAGCGAAAGATACGACAATGTCTGATCTAAACGCCTCTTAGGGCTAAAATATAACTTTGCTCATCTGATCGCTAACTAATGTGATATCAGAAGCAGTTGTAATCGATGTTATTGTTTTACATGTAGAAGTTCGAATCAATAATCATTAATAGCTTTAACTTATGCGTTTTCACATAAGCTACATCTTTATTTTTGATTTTACTCATCAATTTTCATGATGGCTGAAATTCATCATTTTAGTACGAAGTCCATAAGAGGACTAAAAAATCCAAGAAACATATCTTCCTCAAGGAACTGTGCGATAAGGAAAAATGATTTCGCAGATTCGATTTACTGCGCTCAGGAAACCGTTTAATTTAACATATCTTATCTATAAGATTTATATTCACGTTAGGTTCTCTCTCTGACGTCAGAGAGACAGTTACCTTTCAGATCACAATACTTCGTTTTGCTCCAATATCTTGTAGCAAGTGCATCTATGCTGAGGACCTACTTTGTTGATGTTTATTCGTTCTTACTGCTTTTTCATCACAAAAGTTCGTTTGAGCTTCATTTCAGAAGCGGAGGCCTTCATGATTATATTTTACTCACCATGTTCTTCATTGTCTGTCAGTTTCGATGGCAGCATGTCCTTTTGGATGCGGAGGCAGCAATGTCTGCAACTTTCTTGTTTCCGTATCAGCATTTGACCTTTGGTAGAAGAAAAGATAGTTCGAGTTCGTCGAAACGCTTGTTCAAGGTCTTTATTGCCATCCCAGTGTCTTAAGCCGGTCGAGTGGGCAAGAAGTAGCTGTTTCGCCTTCCTTACTCGAAATAATTGTATGACATGCTTAAACCATTGTAGCTATTACTTCTCAGTATGGAGAAGCAGCGACTGTACACGGAGGCTTTGTGGAATCTCTGTACTTTGGACCATGCTGAGACGCATGAGCCAGCCGCTGTCTCACGAGACTTATTTCCAACATTGTACTCGAGATCGAATTTTTTTCAGTCTACTCATGACAGTAGACGAGCATGAGGATGAAGAATCACCTGGACACTGATAGCTTGGTCTTCAGACTAAGCTTTGCTTTAGCCTCAACGGCTCGGGCTAGTTCAAACAGAACGCCGCTGGACGTCCTAATTCGCCTGTCGGTCTTTTCCTCAAATATTCCATTAGCAGTACACACGACCATAAGGTAGGGAACCTTTCTAACCGGTTCCTTGCTCTCCGTTTATCTGCAAAACGAAGTGGATAGGGAAACGAGAAAGCACCTGGCACGCATGCCGGCCACGCCGCACTCGGTTGCGAATCTTTCCAGCGAATGTCAACAAAATAGGGCTCTCTGCTAACAGCAAACTTCTCGTCTCTATAACTCCTACGAAGAAACACTCGTCGCCCTGTGTGTTCCTGGTTATCCCAGCCATGTAAACACGAACAGGAGAAGGGAGGGGACAGAACATAAACCAGTTCGGCGCTGAAAGGTCTAGAGTTACTGCCGTTACTTCGACGCAACCGGTTCATGCCGTTATTGTTCACACCAGAGGCCATTCCTCCCAGTGAAGCTTTTCCAACTTTCACTGTCTGCTGGGACATGCGCACTGAGGCTTCCATCAAAATGATGGATTCTGTGACCAGCACAAATCTTGGGCGGCGCAGCGTCTACTTTATGTAGGAAGAACGTGTATTCTTCTGTGAATTGAGTACAGAGACGTAAAAAGGCAAAAGCTTTCGCCTGTTGCATTCTCAATCGACGGAATGTAAGACTTTCGCTGGCAGACGCAAAACTACCGCTGATTTGAGTGCAAGTCGTACAATCGATACCTTAATGAACGCTTTTTCCCGTACAAGTTTAAATTTCTATAGTCCTGAAGTTTCGGTGACGAGTGTCCGTCTGTATCCAGTTGGCTTTTTGCCTTTTCAAGTAATTCATGCTGTTTCTTTCTGAATGAGATGGTATTTTAGTTTCTGTCAATGAACCCACACTATCGATGTCGTTTCTGTAGAACTTTATTTGATATGCCATTGTGGTATGCGCTGCCTGTCTTCTGCGTTTAGAACGGGTAGCGACTCCGCTGCTGATTGCTATCTGGTGCATACCTCAAGTAGCAGTCATACTTTAGTATGCCCAGCTGCCGGAACGCGTGAAGCAGGTTCTGATTGCCGACTTTCTTCGGCCTGTCTTAGTTCTCGAATAGCCTGTGTGGCCGTTGTTAGCTGGGGCGAGGACCGAGGCGGCATAGTGTTCGATGGTGTCTATGTGACGAGGGACAAGTGGCTGTTTCGTAGGAGACTTCGCAACGGTCCTGAACCATTCTTTTTCACCGGACTTGCTATCGGCAACGTCACGTAATTGGTGTAAAGTTGATGTGACCTTTCGCATGATGGTTTCCATTTCCTGACTGTTGTCCTGAAAAACAATTTCTACAATCAAAACAATCTGTTTTTGCTGCCTTGAAGGTAAGTTGCTCGCTCAGAGCGAAGTTTTGAGGAACTTCAAGTGTGAAGTTCAGGCAGAAATTTCGGTTCCTGTTTGTTAAGCCAGGCTCAAATGGGGCGCATATGCACAGAAGCTGGTTTTGTTGCCCGTTTTCTCTAAATTTGCTTTATCATAACACATTGAAAGTTAGATTAATTGCGTGGAATGCAGTAAATAGAGATTCATGCTCTACACTGAATAGAATCTGTACATCACCGACTTGCCCGTCCAAAAAGAATACCGAAAACAGTCCAGTTTAGATCCAATCCATTTCAGAGAATGAGCTTGATTCGAAAGTTGACGATGGGTGAAATTAGTTTCTCAGCACAGCTTAGAACTTTGAAGGTCGTCAAATGTGCAGCTCTTTTATTTAACATTTACTGCTCAGTAAAACGAAAAGATGAAGAACTTTGCTTCAGTTGTTGACGCGGAAGCAGCGAAACTATTTATGCACACCATTATTTGGAACATTACAAAACGCAGCAGTAAATGAAGATAGAACGAACGAGATAAATCAAGGTGAAGTTGAAAAAAATTCTTCATGCAGGTTTATTCCGTGTGAATCGTTACAAACCTCAGCAAACGCAAAAAATTTAGAAAATGTGATTTAGTGAAGAAACATGCAGTCCGACCTACCGGTATGGATTACGGTCAAAAAACCATGAAGATACGGAAAACTAAAATTAATTTTTTTAGTTCTGGCTGTTTAATCGTTGAGCGAGTGGAACTGATAGTGTTATTTGATAAAACAAACATTTTTTCACTTCGTACTTTTAACGGTAAACGATTATATTTATCCTCCCTGTCTCAGGTTCTTCTAGGATACCAGCAGTACTTAGCTTTCAGCCACAGTGTCAGTTCACGGGGAAAAGAATCTTTCCATGCATTTCTTTGCTGTAAAACAAAGATGCTGATAAATTACTATCCGTCAGGAGATTTGCTCATCGGCTTGGAACATAGACTCAAAAGAAAGTGACATCGCGCATGGCGGGCATTACTAACGCACATTCAGATAAAAAACGGCAAGATTGTCAAACTTTTAAGTACGTACCCGAAGAGAAGCTCCCATCTTGGTGTCAGGGCCCAAATATAGCGTGCGAGAAGTAAACAAAATAGTTAAAAAATGTTGAGCTGTCTGCGAGTTGCACCAGAATTCATTTGCTCACAAGTTAAGATGACGTGTCCTCAATCTTTGCGCGTGTTAACATGTTCGTGTCGACAATTCGGGCACCATCATTCTTCTTACCGCATAGCGACAGTAGATTATTCTCGTAGTTATAAATTGTTACAATAAACACTCAAAAGCATGTAGAGCTTCCAGGAAGATCGTCCGTGTTCATCCGCGGTGGGCGCAGATGCGACAGTAGTCCATAATGTGTTCATTTCTTTGCATTTGTCCTTACTCGCTTAGTGGTGCTAATTTTTTCCGGGTTCTACCTTGTACAGATTATCACATCGAATATCAATTATCAAGTCGGTCAAGAGGAACTGCAGCCACGAAATGTGCTTGCATCAAGTAGCATGACTGTATATCTCACCATTTCTGGTCTAATCATACCAAAGCACCATGTTTTTGTTTGCAAGGGCAACGGGTCTTTATTCGTTTCTTTGCTGATTCCACTAAAACAGCGTCGAGTAAACTCTCTACTCAATTAAGTTAGCGTTGAAAACAAATGGTTCGT